GCTGAGTCAGCTCGGGGGCTCTCCACACACGATTATCCCAGAATCCACACTGCTCTTAGTTACGTTTATGAGGTGTAGCACCTATTTATGAACCCTTAATAAAGTGGGAGGAGGCTAAAAGTGACTGAAGGTCAGGATTGGAAACCCAACATGCATGCCCTCTCACCTATAGCATCGGAGATCTCCTGGGTTTTCATTATTTTATTTTTTTTACCTCTCAAAATGGAAGACAGGAATGACAATGGAGTGCTGCTTAGAATTCAGTGGATGGGAGTGATTTCTTCAGTTCCACTGCTTGTAACTATATTAGAATGTTGCAGAGGGGACAAAATTTTGTAAGAACTTATTCTCTTTCTGAGTGAATGGTTTGTGAAAGTAAAGTAAGTTCATGGGAAAGCACACCAACCTATTGCGTAGGCTGTGCAAGAAACTAGGAATTTCTCACAGCCCTGTTGGAGATGCAAGACACAAAGAAATATAGCAATGAACACATGTAAACAACAAATAAAATCAAATATTAGCTTTTTAAGAAATATATTAATACGCCAAATTAAGAGATTAAAACAAAAATTCAGATGTGTACTTCTTAAAAACATGTAAAATCCATCTCAGTCATGAAAAAAAATTCATCAGAATAGCAATTTGTTTAATAAAAGGCATATTCTGAAAACCCACCACAAGCATTCTAACAGTAAAACATTATAAGGTTTTTTAAAAAAATTAATAAAAATTAATAAAAATTTATTTTTATCTCCACTTCTATTCAGCATTGTACTGGAGTTCTAGCAAGGTAAGATAAGATTCAGAAGAATACATAAATCTTCTGTTTATGAAAATAGACCCAATAAATCAAAGTGTATTCTTTAAGATTCCACATACAGGAATCAATACATATATTTAAGAATCCATCCTATAAAGAAAAATAAAAGAATGTGAAAATTTAGACTAATAGATATGAGGAACTCACAGGGAGCTTCAAGAATGACAAAGAAGTTGGATTTCCTTTTCTTTTTTTTTTTTACATTTATTTATTTGTGTGTGTGCGTGTGCGGGGGTGTGTGTGTGTGTGTGTGGCCAGCTCAGCCCACCAGGGGGAGGGGCTGGCTGGCATGTGGTGCTGGGGGATCGAACTGTGGTCCCTCTGCTTTGCTAAGCTTGTTCCAAGTAGGTTCATTAGACCACTGAGCCATCTCACCAGCCCCTGGATTTCTTAAGTGGGATGCTGATAGACATTTATTTTGTAGTAAACAAGCATTATCATAAATATTCACTGTGTATCTTGAAAATGCAATGTCATGTGTAAAACAATTATTACTTTTGTTATTAATTGATGCACAGTACTTATGCATAATCATAAGATGAGATACACTGTGATGCCTTGATACATGTGTAACGTGCACAGCAATCAAAGCATATTTAGCATATTCATCATCTCATATATTTATCATTTCTTTGTGATGAGAACAATCAAAATCCTTTCTTCTATTTTGAACTAGCCAATACATTATTAACCAAATCCACTCTGCTGTGCAATAGAACACCAAATTTTATTCCTTCTATCTAAATGGAACTTTGTACCCAGTGACTGATCTGTCAATCACTTCCTTCTCCTCAACCTTCCCAGCCTCTGGAAACTACTCTTACTCTCCATCTGTGACGTCAGCTTCTTTAGGTTCCACATACAAGTGCAGTACTTGTTTTTGAAAGCCTGGTTTATTTTACTTACCATAATGTTCTCTGGCTCATGCAGGTAGTCAGAAATGACAATATTTTATTCTTTTAAATAGTTGAACAGCATTCCATTGTGTGTATGTGTATGCCACATTTTCTTTATTCAGTCATCCACTGAGGACACTAAGATTGATTCCTTGGATACTGTACATAGTGCTACAATAATTATGGGCATTTGACATGTTGATTTCATATCTTAGTATTAGATCACTGAATCAAATCATAGTTATATTTTTAATTTTTATGAGGGATCTCCATTCTATTTTCCATCATGACTGTACCAATTTACATTCTCACTGACGGTATAAAAGAGATTTCTCCACTTTCATGTACCAATAATGGCAAATTCATTTTTTTCACATACACACTCACACACAGGTTAAAAAAGAACTAAGTACTCTGTAAACCTCTACTCAAAACAGCTGTTTATTTTGCAATTGCTTAAGATGAAAAAATGAAATAAGAAAAGTAAAATGATATTTTGATTTTTACATCTGCTCTGAGTGAAATCAGTCCTGCTAACATCTTACATTTATTTCCTTGTTATAGCTACCTAGAAGTTCCTTCAAGTATAATGTACCTGATTTTCACATTTTTACTTAATATTAAACTCTGATTTTATTTTTCTTCCCAGTGGCCAGGTTTTATCTGCTCTTCCTAGAACTTCTAGGCAAGTTCAAGTTCTACAGAACATTACTGCAACCTACAAGGTAATTTCCCCTCGTGTATGTTTATGTTGGCTTTATTTTGTATGAGTATTGTATGCCACATTTCTTCTTACAGTCTGTCTAACTTATATGTATCTGGTATGAATTCTTTTGTGACAGGCTTTACTCTTTTCCATAATCACATGAGTTTGTTCTCCCAAAATCAAACTTTCCTTTGTGATGTTGGTTTTTCAGAAAATTTCATAATCATATGTCCTTGTAAAGTTGATGTAGTAACAGGAGTCCAATTGAGTTTTGCTTACAAAGGAGTAGATTCTTAACCAAGTAGTATGTGAGAAACTCAAATAAAGAACAAAATGATAGACAATAAGAAAAGGGGAGAGAGCTGTTCTGTAAAAAGAAGGGGACAAAGAAATGCACAGAGGGAAGAGGGAAACAAGGGAAAAGTAATTAAAAAAGAATTAAAATGTATCATGTACATGTACCAACTCCCCATAAGGAATACAACCATTATGCACTGTAAACATGCACCAGTAAAAAATAAAAACTGAAAAAAAGCCCATGCCTGGGACTCATCTCTCTAGAATGTCTAAGATGTGGAAAGTTGATGAGCTACAAAGCAAAGAGTGATGACTTTGTTAGTGTTGTCCAAGAAGCAGAAGACACATGAGAAGTGCAACAGACTACGGTAATGCTTGCTAAGGAGGAGGAGGAGGGAAATGAGACAGCAAGGAGCACCTTAGAGCACGGTGCAGCCTGATGTTAGAGCACGGTGCAGCCTGATGCATCTGCAGGAAGGAGGGTCTTGCATGGTGGATCTCAGACCGCAGGACACGTCCAACAAAGGCGGGGGTAACACAGGGCTGTTGTTTAGCTAAATAACTTGCTGTAAGAGCCTCATTCAAACCTGGGAGCAATGGGCCTGCAGCAGCATGGCCTCTGTGCTCCACCAGTGCTGGCTGCTGCCCTGGGAAGTGTGCATCAGCCTACTGCGGATCACTAGATTGTTCTCTGCCTGCTCTCAGAAGTAGAATGGCTGAGTGGTGTGTTTCCATGGCCATCACAGCAAGACAGACAGAGAATACTACTGGAGGAAGCTTTGGAGATTAGAATGTTTTTTCTTATTCTACCATTTGATGTATAAGTTTAGACTACTTAGTCATAAACTTTAATTTCTTTATCTGAACAATGAAAATGATGATATCTACTTGATTTATATATCGAAGTGGTATAAGCAAATAAATGTGAAAGTGCTTTGGAAAGGTGCAGTAAGATAGGAAAAAGGTAATGCCATTGGAAGGCACTGTCCAAAGGCCATAATTAGATTAATGGAAAGGAATATTCACATAACAATATGAAGTTTATGAAAATTGGTCTTGAAATTTTTATTAAATAAAACCAACAGGTTTTTGGGGGTGGAGGTATTGAGGACGGAACTCAGGGCCTTCACACTGAGCTGCATTCCCAGACCTTTTTATTTTTGAACCAGGGTCTTGCTGAATCATTAAATTACCTAGGTTGGGCTTAAGCTTGTGAGCCTCCTGCTTCAGCCTCCCAGAGTGCTGGGATTATAGGTATGTGCCACCATGCCAGACCAAAGTGAAATCAATATACTATATAATCAAATTTCTTTCTGGACAGAATTCTGCTTTTTCTTTAAGAATCTGACATACTCACCCTATTCATAAAATGATGAGTTGTATATTCATTCATTCACTCATTCATTCATTTTCTTGTGAGATATTTATCGAGTATTGGGTAGGTTCCAAGCCCTCTTGAGCAACTAAGATTACAGAGAAGAATAAAGAGTTCACTGAAAAATAAATATTTGCATTATCATATGTATGAATGAGTACCAGTATGATATTTCTTTTTCATATCTCTATTATGGCTCTAGCTACAAATGAGAATGATGTACACAACTGTTTTTTAATCAATTTTGCCCCTTGAAACTATAGATTGTTCTCTGGCAGCCAGTAACAGCTGAATTTATTAAAAAGAAAAAAGAAGTCCATTTTTTTGTGAATGCATCTGATGTAAGCCACGTGAAAGCCCATCTAAATGACAGCAGAATTCCATTCAGGTAGGCATAATTTAATATACATTGAATAGCTATTACAAATATCCATTGTGCATTAGAAGATGGAATAACTGCTTTCTGGAGAAATAGCATACATTAAACACCACAGCCTGAAAGTCCCTGATGTGGGCTGGTGATAAAGCCCAAGACCCAGCTCAGTGACAAATTGTTCAATCTCTTGTAACTACAGCTTTTTACCTGGAATGAAGGTTAGACTCAGTGGTCTATAGAGCCTCTTCTTATTCTTTTCTGGGATCACTCTGCCTCCACAACAGGGAACCCAAACTGTTATTCTCCATAGGAGGTTTTGTGATATTGCTTTTCAAAAGCTACTCTGGGGAGAGGATTACATTGTTTTAAAATTCTTCCTTCACAAAGTTAGCAAATGTTTCTGAATATGTGGCCCTAAACAAGAAAGTCTGACTCTGGAAAATCTGGGTTGGTGTCTAACACTGACATTTATCTACCTGTGTCATATTGTAGGATTTATTAATTTTTTGTGCTGCAGTTTTGTATATTAGAGAGTAAGAAAGCAGCTATCATGTTGAATAAATTATTTTTTAAAGTTTTAAAATCATGAATTATTTCTGTTCAGACACTAGCTCTTGTTCTTTTGGGTTTTATCCATCATGCCCACCTGCCAGTGGCCCCTACTCCTCATACTTTCCTTGGGACTGTCCTCCCTGCTGTGTGTCTGGATAATACGCTATAATTATTATGAGTAAGTTAGTGCAGGTGTTCACAGCCTCCTAGGATCTGTGCTTCCAATCTATGCAATG